GAGGCGGGCTGTAGCTGTGACTGCGACTGGACAGGCTGTGGACACTCGAAGGGAGGAGCACGACCAGTAGAGGGCGGGAGACCAAGAACCTGCGCTAGGAGCGGAACGAAGTACGGCCTCGGCCGCTCAGCGCCTCGAGAACCAGCAAGGACAGCTCCAGTACCCCCAGCAGCAGCACTAGTGCCAGCAGCACCTCCAGCTCCAACAGCGCGAACTCTAGTACCCTCAGAAGCACTAGCGCTAGCAACACCGCTAGCGCCAACACCCCCAGCAGCTCCAGCTCCAGCAGCACCAACTCTAGTAGGACCGTCAGCTCTAGCAGCTTCAGCAGCACCCCCAGATGCACTAGCGCCAGTAGAAACACTAGCGCCAACACCCCCTGCAGCCCCAGCTCCAGCAGCACTAGCACCGCCAGCAGCTCCAATAGGACCAACTCCAGTAGCCCCAGCAGCACGTCTCGAGCGGCGGCAAACCACTCGCGCAGCTCTTGTGGAGAGAGTGGCTCCCGCCGTGAGGAAGCACTGCCGGCACCCACACGAGCAGACCAAGTGCCCCCAGGCTCCACACCCCCAGGCTCCGCACCCCCAGGCTTAGCACCCCCATACCCTGCACCCCCAGGCTATGCACCCCTAGTCTCAGCACCCCTTAGACTCAGCACCTCCAGACCCGGCACCTGTAGGCTCAGCACCTCTAGCAGCACCAGAGTCAACAGCTACCTCGACAGGCTCGACTGCGTCTACCTGGGACACACCTGACGGGGCAGGACCCTGAGGGGGGAGGGGGTCTATCGGGGGAGGACCTGGCGCAAGGAAGAGCCGCGGCGGGGGGAGGGGCGCAGCGCGATAGGGGAAGAGACGGTAGTAAGGCGCCGACTCGTCAGAGGTGACGTCCTGGGAGGACAGAACACGGCGCAAGGTGGGGTGGTAAAACTGCCAACCAGGCGCGTCAGGGGGGAAGCCAAGGAAGACGCAGGGAACTGCACAGGGGGATAGCTTGTCCGCAGACAAGTCGCAGACAAACACCCGAGATCCCCAAACACGGAACACAGACGCATCGCCAACCTTCCCCCTCCACCTCAGGGTGGGGAGGTCTCCGGCAAGGAGACTCGGGGCTGAAGGTTGATCTGATGCGGTGCGTACCGAACCGCAAACGGCTACAGAAAATGGGGAGTAGCGGCATGGATCATGGACGTACGAGCGACGTCCATGACCATGCCAATGCGGCGCTCAGCAATCCCATTTTTCTGTGGAGAGGCCGGAAGCGTGAATGTCTGGCGGAGGCCCTGTGCACGACAGAAGGCTCCCTGACGGGCAGAGGAAAACTCCCCGCCTCTGTCAGAGTCCAGACGCAGAACAGGAAAGTCCGAGCTGAAACTCTCTCTGAGCTGGAGACGAGCTGCGCGGATCCAGTCGATCAACACCTCAGTGACGTCACCCTTGCTGCGCAAGGGGAACACCGTGGTGTAACTCGAGTAGTCGTCAACCACCAACAGGAAGTCACGCTCGTGACCTTGGCCACGGACGCGGGCGGGGCCCCACATTTCCATGTGAAGAGTTTGCAGCGGAGCCTCTGTCGGAGGAAACTCAGAGGAGTGAGGGGCGGCGCGCTCTCGCCCCTCGACGCAGGGGACGCAGGTAGGGCCAGGCCCCGGAGGAAGGGGAGGGAGAGACTGAGGGAGACCAGAGACAAGGACACGGGAGGCCATGCCTCGAAGAAGAGGCAAGGAGGGGTGACTAAGGCGGTGGTGCCAAAGGAGAGTCTGGTGGGACAGTAGACGACACGAGCAGGGAGCAGACTCAGGACCAGACCTGGACGCTACAACAAACACCTGACCAGACTCAGCAACCGGAGGAAACTCAGTAGTCAGTGTGTACAGGCTCGGCCCCAGCCGATGGGTAAACGTGGCCAAGTGTCGGCCCGTCCGCGCACACGTACAGTGGGTCACTTGCTGATTGCAGGAGTGAACTGGTCAACCCCCCGATCGTGTAGATCAGCACCAGTCACCAAGTTCGTAGAGAACGAGGGAGGTAGAGACCTGACAGGGTGCCAGAGGGGGCTGCCGGGCACGGTAAGACAGTGGAGAAGCGAGCAAGGACAGGACCCCAAGAGGGGTCCGCCAGGGAGACCGCAACCGGCCGACTGAGTGGCGTAAGCGTGGTGCGGTCTCGAAAGAAGGAGCGGGAAGCACCCGAGTCAAGAGTAAAGGTGTGTAAGGCCTGGGCCGACGTGGTACCTGAGAGAGCAAACTCACCAGCACCTTGGGCAGCAGACACACTAGCACCTAGAGCAGCAGCCTCACCAGCACCTAGAGCAGCAGCCTCAATGCCCAGGTCTGGCGGAACACACAGGTAACAGTCACCCTCATCACTAGTAGGCAATGCATACATGGCAGTGAGGATAGCATCATAGTCAAGAGCATAGATATCTACCCGCATCTGAAGCAGCTCTACCCAGTCGGGGAGCTCAGCCGCGTCACCAAACTATGTACGCCAGGCGTCGCTCAGACGGGCGAAGCAGCGGGACTCTGCATGACCCAACGTCCCGCAAGGCTGACCAGTCCGAGCACCAGTGAAAATGGCGTACGGACAGCGAGCAGTACTCCATGACCCGTCACGCTGAGCGTACCATTCACAAAGTTGCTGGGGCGAAAGGACCGCTCCTAGACAACGCTGAGGCTGCACCTGGCCACTACACGCAGCTGCGGAACTACTCACTCCAGGACGACTCCCACTACAGCCACCCCGACAACCCCAACTAGCGTACCACTCACAAAGCTGTTGGGGGGTGAGGGACTCACGCGGGCGACGCTGGCGCTGCATCTGGCCACGCCAAGAGCAGCAGTAGGAGCAGAAAGAGCAGCAGCAGCAAGAGCAGCACTAACAGCAGTACGGGCAGGGCAGTGCTCACCAGTGGCAAGAAGGGCAGTTGTATGACGGCGGCAACGGCGAGATCGCTACCACTGTAGGGCGAGAGCTCCGCGGCAGCTGCAGGGGTGGCTACGCCAGAGGCGGCTGCTCCAGGGGCGGCTGCTGCAGTGGCGGCTTCTCCAGGGGCGGCTGCTGCAGTGGCGGCTGCTCCAGGGGCGGCTGCTGTAGTGGCGGCTGCTCCAGGGATGGCTGCTGTAGTGGCGGCTGCTCTAGGGGCGGCTGCTGCAGTGGCGGCTGCTCCAGGGACGGCTGTTGTGGTGGCGGCTGCTCCAAGGGCGGCTGCTGCAGTGGCGGCTGCTCCAGGTGCGGCTGCTGTAGTGGCGGCTGCTCCAGGGATGGCTGCTGTAGTGGCGGCTCCTCTAGGGGCGGCTGCTGCAGTGGCGGGTGCTCCAGGGACGGCTGCTGTGGTGGCGGCTGCTCCAGGGGCGGCTGCTCCAGGGGCGGGTGCTGCAGTGGCGGCTGCTCGTGGGGCGGCTGTTGCAGTGGCGGCTGCTCCAGGGACGGCTGCTGCAGTGCTGCTGCTCCAGGGAAGGGTGCTTCAGTGGCGGCTGCTCCAAGGGTGGCTGCTGCAGTGGCGGCTGCTCCAGGGACGGCTGCTGCAGTGGCTGCTGCTCTAGGGATGGCTGCTTCAATGGCGGCTGCTCCAGGGGCGGCTGCTGCAGTGGCGGCTGCTCCAGGGGCGGGTGCTGCAGTTGCGGCTGCTCCAGGGACGGCTGCTGCAGTGGCTGCTGCTCCAGGGACGGCTGCTTCAGTGGCGGCTACTCCAGGGGCGGCTGCTGCAGTGGCGGCTGCTCCAGGGGCGGCTGCTGCAGTGGCGGCTGCTCCAGGGGCGGCTGCTGCAGTTGCGTCTGCTCCAAGGGCGGCTCGGCTGCTGGGCGACTCGGCGGCTCAGCTGCTGGGCGACTCGGCGGATAGGCTGCTCGCTAGGGGCGACGACGAGGCCGGGTAGGGGCGGCGATGGGGCGGCTAGGGGCGGCGACGGGGTTGCGTAGGGAGCAGAGCGGCGACGGGGCCGCGAGGGGCGGCGTCTGGGCCGCGTAGGGGCGGCGACGGGGCCGCTAGGGGCGGCCGCTGGACCGCGTAGGGGCGGCAACGGGGCCGCGTAGGGAAGAGAGCGGCGACGTGGCCGCTAGGGGCGGCAACGGGTCCGCGTAGGGGTGGCGACGGGGCTGCTAGTGGCGGCGCGTAGGGGCGGCGACGGGGCCGTGTAGGGAAGGGAGCGGTGACGGGGCCGCTAGGGGTGGCGACCGGGCCGCGTAGGGGTGGCAACGGGGCCGCTAGGGGCGGCGACGGGCCCGCTTAGGGGCGGCGACGGGGCCGCGTAGGGAAGGGAGCAGCGACGGGGCCGCTAGGGGCGGCGGCGGGGCCGAGTAGGGGCGGCAACGAGGCCGCTAGGGGCGGCGATGGGGCCGCGTAGGGGCGGCAACAGGGCCGCGTAGGGAGGGAGGCGGCTACGGGGCCGCTAGGGGCGGCGACAGGGCCGCGAGGGGCGGCGCGGAGGCCGCGTAGGGGCGGCAACGGGGCCGTGTAGGGGCGGCAACGGGGCCGCGTTGGGGCGGCAACGGGGTCGCGTAGGGAGGGAGGCGGCTACGGGGCCGCTAGGGGCGGCGACAGGGCCGCTAGGGGCGGCGTCAGGGCCGCTAGGGGCGGCGACGGGGCCGCGTAGGGGCGGCAACGGGGCCGCTAGGGGCCGCGAGGGGCCTGGAAGGGCGGCGACAGGGCCGCTAGGGGCGGCGCGAGGGGCCGTGAGAGGGGCCTCTACGAGAGCTCGATAGAAGGGCGGCCCACAAGGCGCGCCTCGGGGAGGAGCGACTGGCGCTCCGGTCAGAAAAAGTTTCCAGTGGTGGGCCGAAGGAATCGTTCCCACTAGGGAACCTGCTCTATACCATGTGAAGAAATGAGCAAATGAATGAACTAGTAAGGAGGTGGGTACAAGTAGGAAAACCTAGAAGTGTTATACCCCATATTGTCTACCCCACTACAGCCTACACAGACTATAGCATACTTATGAGTTTGACAAGACGCTTCTTACTCATCAGCCTTCGCTCGTGCTACTTATAGGGACGTCCTTACTTACCACACCCACGTGTAACCCGCAGACTTAGCAGCTGCCTCAGCCTGCTGAGCAGCGAGCGTGGCGTTGTACGCGCGAGAAGCCATAAGATTCGCCGCCGAGTCCGCGCTGTTCTTGTTACTCACCGCCTTGCTCTGCAGAGTCTTCGCGTTGCTCACATTCGCGGACTTGGCAGGAATAGACGCATTCGCGTAGCTCGCGTTGGCCTGGGCTTGAATCACTGCAGCCTTGGCATCCTCATACGCCGCAGCGGCTTCGTCCAGCTCAAACTTAGCGTCATCGATCACGTGCTGCTGCGCGGTAATTTCCTCCTGGACGCTCGCGGGGTCCTCGATAACTTTTAGCTTCTTAGAGAGAAAAGACTGTGCCCGCGCCACCTGTTTAGTCATATCTGTCAGAAGCGCCTCCGCGTCGGCCTTCTGCGCTTTCGCCGTCTCTAGATCGTCCTGCGCGACGATCAGATCTGCGCTCTTGAGGCTTGGATCGGCAGCCCTCCGAGCCCATCTCAAAAATGTCAGGTCTATTTCCGGGCGTTAACATCCAAACTTAGGTTGTAACCAATGTATCTACGCCCAATAATTGCCCGGCTGTAAATAAGGCAGACTTTAGCCGTATTGGGGCCGATAATTGCCGGACCGTTAATTACCCGGGATGGCCCTTATTGGACGTAAATCAGCATGGCGCCAGGGTCAGAGTTCAGATAAAAATAGCAGTGAACCAGAGTGCCATTCGCAGTTGTTTCTAGTTCTGATAAAAATTGCCAAATTGTCCTTGTTTACATTCACTCAAATGCCAACATAACGGGGTGTCCAGCTTGTTCATTTCGGGAAGTTTAGTACCCCCTCACGATCCGTGGTTCAAAACTGATCAGTGTACCTAAAAACAAATGCGCCCTGTTTCGAGTCCACCCTTTCTGTCAATTCTAGCGCGCGGACACATCCCCCCCACAAAGAGTTCAACAGTGTCACGGCTGGGTGGAAAACGAGGTAACCTGTTCTCTCGTCAACCAAATTTCGCCCAGTCAACACTTCCTCTGCTGAACGAACCGCACACACAAAAAACACCTGGAGGGCATTCCAGCCCTCCCATACGCACAAAATTTGCGAAGTCAACAGCTCCTCTGCTGAACGAACCGCACACAAAAAAAACACATGGAGGGCATTCCAGCCCTCCCATACGCACAAAATTCGCGAAGTCAACAGCTCCTCTGCTGAACGAACCGCACGCACAAAAAACACCTGGAGGGCATTCCAGCCCTCCCATACGCACCAATCAAACAAGCAAAATTCGGGGAGGGCATTCATTCCCTCCCATGCGCTTCCGTCACGCACTCACAAAATGTTGGAGGGCATTACATCCCTCCCATTCGCTTGCGTCACGCAAACACAATATGATGGAGGGCATTTCATCCCTCCCAAACGCTCCCGTCGAACAATTCCAGGTGAGCTCTAGAAAGGCACCCACTAGAGACTACTATTTTAGGACATATCGAGAATAGTCACAACTATCTCATCAGCAGTTGTCCAGTATGGCGACCAGAATTATTCGAATAGTGAACCTTGCGCACCAAGGCCTCGTTGCTTGTGTCATAGCCCCTATCGGCAATGTGCTCGCGGAGCTACTACCGGCGCTAGTGAAGTCTCTTACTGCTGCGGTGCGTGAGGAAGGACTCCTCCGAGATCGTGCTAGTGTTCGGGCTAGGTGGCAGACGCTTCTCAACGAATTCTCAGACGACCTTTACATTGCATTGTTTCGTGTCGAGAAATACATCTTCAAATACATCGTGCAAGAGTGGCTCATAGCTCGTCCGCGGAAGTCCAATCTGAACTACATATATGAGCTTCGTGTGGCGATGGCGCTGTCACGCCTTGCGCATGCCTGGAGTTTTAGCATGTGCGGTCTGCACTTTGGTGTGAGTAGGAGCTCCGCGCTCACCATCTGCGATGACTTTGAGGACTTTGTCCTGAAAGTCTTAGGCCCCGATTGGATCAAGTGGCCGGACTTGGAAGACATGCCTGCTATGGCCGCCGATTTCCAGAGGCTTGGCGGAATTCCTCGCGTCGTTGGCGCGTTGGATGGGACCTTCATCAAGGTGCGCGGTTCCGATGAACATCGCTCCGACTTTCAGAACCGTAAGGGATTTTACAGCGTCATTCTTTAGCTGATCGTCAATGCCCATGGTGACATCTGGGATTTCGATGTAGGTTGGCCTGGCAGTGTGAATGATGCACGCGTTTGGAACAATAGTGAAGCTTGCGCTCGCATTGAAAGGGGGGAGCTACATGGCTATTGCCTTGTGGCTGACGCAGCGTACGGACTACGAGACTACACATTCACACCCTACAAAGTAGACAGGAACACACACCTACTCACAGACAAAGAGGCAACATGGAATAAGCAGCAGAGTCGCGAGCGCATTATAGTCGAGCAAACAAACGGAAGGCTGAAAGGGAAATGGCGAGTCCTTAACGGGCGCATGGAGGCCAACATCCGCAAGGTGCCCAGGACCGTGGGGGCTTGCGTGGTGTTACACAACCTGGAGAACTCGTTGAGCAGCCGCCCTCGCACCGGTGCCCCTCGCGAAGGTCACCGTTGGTGGCTAGAAGGCCCGGCAGCCCAAGCGGTCCACACCACGACTGAGACGGATGGATTTACTCCAGCTCTCCGTCGTGAACGCTTGGCCCACGAGCTCCATTCATCCTGGGCTCGTACTCACTCGGCCATGACCCGACCAATGACTGGGTAAGGCTCTCAAACCTGTCGCATGCACGGTCCACAACACTATTTATAGCGCTCGTGATGCTTTCCGCCATGACCGTGGCGATTGCCGCCTCCGGTCCAACACCAATCAAGCCTGCCGTTGACCTTCCGTTGCTATGTGTTGGTGACCCCCCTGCAAAAGGCGTCCCCGTCCTATCCGCGGAGGCCGTGGGGGACGCGGTGGGAACGGAAGGTGATGGCCCCGAAGGTGAGCCAGTGCCGGATGGCAGAGCGGTGGGCTGAGTAGTCGCGGTTGCTGGAGTCTACACCACGGTAGTAGGAGTGTGTGGGGTAGGCGTGCGGGAAACAGGCTCGGAGGGCGTAACCGGGGAGTTCACGGCCGTCGTTGAAGTGCGCGTGTTCCCTCCCGATCCACCAGTCGTAGCGGCACGGATGGTGGCAGCCACACTAGTGGGGACAGTGGTAGTAGTAGATGCTCGGGCAGCAGGCCTTTTATGAAGAGGGCCGACATGTGTCATGGCTGTTGGGGTACGTAGGAAATGGAGTGTGGTGTGGTTAGTGATGTCGATGGGGTACGTCACGGTACTAATGGTCTGGTGTAGGTAGCGATGTGGGTTTTGCTGAATTTTAGAAGGGCATGTATGTGTAGATGCTTTGAATCAGGAATGCACTGGCGGGATGTTTATGGAAACCGCTTACCATTGGGGCCTTTGGTGGTAGGAGTGGTTACCATCGCAGCAGTCACACGATGGACGGGCTGGACTCCGGGGCGATTGCCATGAATTGTCTCCATCAATCCGTACCACGAAGGGAAGTAGCGGATCGCTCCGACGCCAGAGCGGGACAGCCTGTCGCGGAGTTGCTTGTACTGTGCCTCGATGCGCAGCATCTTGATCTTGATCGCCGCACGGCCGAAGCGGAAACGCGAATGGCGCTCAAGCACCAGCGTGTGGAGTGCAGCCCAGTAGTTGGCACCTTGAATTCCGCGCATGAGATCCCAGTGAGGATCCAGGTCACCCTGGCATGCACCAGCTGAAGCATCTCGGTGGCCGTCCAGCGCACACGCGGGCTTGTGGGATCGTTCCTGGGATTAGTAACACCAGGAGAGCGGACTAGCGGGACCCCGACGTCGCCGGAATCATCAACAAAAGGCCCACCATCGGGAGAGAGGTCCTGGTTGTCGATGTTGTAGTCGCTCTGGTCGGCAGTCAGGTTATCACCAGCGGCGCTTACAATAGAGGGGGGTGCAGGAGTAGTGGTGGGTAGCCCGGGAGCAGTTGATTCTTCGGTACCGATGAGGGTGTGTGTCGCCTCCATGGAGTTGGTTTCAACGTAGATAGTAGACAGGTGTAGGCACGGTCAAAATAAGATTGTTGGCAGCTAGTATACTTGAGTTTGAAAGCTTGACGAATTTCAGTGTCTAATGATCTACTTAAGTAGTGAGTTGCTTTCTAGTGAGATTCTAGTCATCTACTGTCTACTAGGGGCGGGACGCATCAAGATCACATTCGTGTCGCCCGAAATTCGACTGGGATTTGCGATAAATGCGCCATGAGAGACGGGCGCGTCGGCAGTCACGTACCATGTTAAGTTAGAACGCCCGTACATGGCGATTGCAAGATTTGCGCTGAATGTGGGCAACATGCTTGACGAGTTGGTTTTTTGCTGTGTTGGCGAATCTGGATTTATGATGCGCTTCTAAATTTGAGATGTCATGCAATGTCGAAGGCCAGAGCGCAGGTGGTTTTGGCGAGCGTCAGGCGGGACTGGCGAAATCGTGAGGGCGATCCAAAGGGCACGCACTGTAGAGGGCATGACGCGGTGCTGTACCTAGGTTCGATGCGCACGCTGATTCCAGTTACGTGCGTCACACGATTCGAGGTACGTGCAGGGAATGTGCCGTAACGTGAACGGGAGCCACACGCGTCCTGATTTTTTTTGTAAAAGTCAGTGTTACAACGCAAAATGTGGTAACTGTAGGGCTTTACGAACAGTAAATGTACGAGCTGGATACCCCCTAACTCGGCCTAAACTTCTTGAAAACACCCAATCATTAGCTAATGGTAGCACCCTAATAATAGTAATAAAAATAATGTGATTATCAAATTATTGTGGAAAATAAGCATACATTAGAGCAGCAAAACTACAATTAGAAAACCAGGGTTTATGGCAGCAACCCAGCAAACTCGTCCTCAAACCCTGCGATCACAATACGCACTAACGGGTTTGCTCCCATCTAAAAGCATGCAGGGGCAGTGTCGCGATAGATATTATCCCCCCGGGATAACCTATCCTTAATCCAATCAATGATCACCCCCACTTTCAGCTGCACTTCCCTCTTATTGTTGGAGTCACTGCCATCTAGGGTAGGTGTGTCACGGCTCCCAGCATTTGCCATGGGCCATTCAACCTGCAGGGTACATTTGAAAATATATGGGAAAATGGGGAGCAGGGATAGGTGGGTGTGTTGGAAAAAATCAGTACAGTGAGGGAGATGTGCATTGCAGAATGGGGAGCAGGGAGAGAGAGGGTGTGCTAGAGCAAGAACTGGATCATTGGCAAGGGAAACAAACAATGCATGGGAAACAAACTCACCACATGGCAAATCGTTGCCACCATTGGGATCTTGGCAAACATCGTCTTACACCTGCGACCGCCAAGTCCCTTGCAGAGCGCCATATCAAACGCCTTGTTGGCAAACGGGCGCTCCGTGTCAGGATCGCAATGCCACTTGCTGCCATAAAATGGTTGCAAGCACAGAAATCCGCTTGATGTAAGCACAATACATGTGGAACTCAAGAAACAAGGGCTAGAAATGCTCGGGGCATGCAACGTTAAAAACGAGCTGCATACTTACCATCAAAATAGAAAAGGTGCCACTGCTGGACGTTGCGGCGCTGCACTGGCGCCATGTTCTCAGCAGCCAGCATGGGAATCTTCGATTCCCTGACGAACCCGCCTGGCCCATGTGCCCACGTCTTGATGTGTGTGAAGAGGTTGCCCCGACGCTCGCCGACCTTGTCTTTAAGAATCCTCTCCCGTTCCGGGTGAGAATTAATGACAAGGTTGAACGTTTCCTCGGAAACGTTCACCATCCGATACGTACAAATGAGTTGCTGCCTCAACTCCTGCGGCTCAGGCCAAAAGTTGATCTCCCTCGGGGGAGCTTCCGCAATGAAGTACAGAACCGCTTGGTTGCACTTTGCCTGCCATGCATTACAAGACGGATATGCAAAGTGCAAGGGAGCGCGGGTTGAAGCCAATGTAGAAAGCGCGGGTTGCATAGGATCAGAGTGGGAATGCAGGCTTGCGAAGTACAGGATCAAGGTACAGAAGGTTGCAAGGGTGGGTGGGTGGGAATACGAGGT